ACCAAGGTCTTGTCTGCCAGACACATAATGGTCTCAACAGAACAGAAAGATTACGAACACCTTGGGAAAGGAGGTTGTATGTTACCCTGAAATGTTCGTAACTCTGAACAAAACGTTACGGTTGTTTTCAAAAGTTTACAACTGAACAATGACGTAATACAGGTTAGAAACTTTACTATGAAAAAAAATGCTGCTTTCCTTTTTTTAGTAGTTTACATTTAACACCGTACTGTGCTTTTTTGGGGGTCTGCTGCTGCTGCCTGATTGTGTACATCTGGTTCCAAATGACGCATGCGGTGAACTGCTAAGTTCGTAACTGTGGTGATCGTAACTCCGAGGTTCATGCTGCAGGGAGAGTATGAATTGATGCGGACAATCTGGCTAGGTTACTGACCAGTATCTCAGATTGCAAAGAAGATTGTGGTAAGACAACTTGGCAGATCTATTGCTTCAAATCAGCATTTCCTAGATGTGAAAACTGAGCCTCCCCTTCAAGAAAATGAAAACAATCCATCCCTCTTTAACCCTGCCAAGTGTTGGTAAAGGCTTAGCCCCAGATGACTGGAGACAGACTGTGCCATTTTCACAGCAGTACTTCCTTTCTTGTAGGCAGTGTTTGTCTAGTGGCTAGATCACTAGACTAACTCAGGAGACCGGAGTTCTATTCCTGGCTCAGCCACCTTGGGCAAGCCACTTCACCTATGCCTCAGTTTTCCTATCTGTAAAATGGGGATGATTATATTAACTGCTTTGAGATCTACTGATGAAAAGTGCTCTATAATCTAGGTATTATATGCTTTGAGTAATGAAAGTTTACAGTGGTGACATCTGAGTTTGTACCCACTGAAACAAATGGGGCAATTCATAATCTGATTATTGTATCAAACCCCCTGCAAACTCAGATGGATAGGACTACAGTTAACCTTGAAAGTGTGACTGAAATGTCTCTCTACAACTTTGACAGCTAAAAATCTTGCTAAAAAAAAAAAAAAGTGAAAGCTGAAACCGTGGAGAAAAATTAAGAGTCCTATCTATATCCCTGGCTAATCATTCCTGCCTCTCCCTTGTAAACAGTGCCTTAAACGAATCCAGAAACGTATTGGGTGCAGAATGTGGCAGTCTACCGGAGTGGAGGACCACCACTGAGTAACACCGAGTGACAGCTCACACCACTGCTTCCTATTGGGTTCCAGTCTGAACCTACAAAGACCTAAATGATTTGGGATGTTGCAATCAGCTAAGCTCTCTGGGTCCAAAATAACTCATGTCTGTTGGCCTTCAGGGCATGCTGCAAGAAGTGCACTTATTCCTATGGACTGCTACAGATGGTGGGGCCTGAACTGCCTCAGGCAGGGAGAGGATACATTAGGGTTTATAGGGGGTTATATTATGTTGTCTGTCAAGGCTGGGGGGTAAACTGCTGTTGTATTATTCATTTTGTATCTTGCATCAGGAATGCCCTTTTAGAAGACATCCAATCCAATCCAAATCAGATAAGAATCTGTCCTGCTTTCATCCACTGTAAGCAGTTCTGCTGTTGAATATGAGGAGCATTGAATCTTTTAAAAAGCACCAGGCTTATTTTTCTTGTAAATAAGGAAGAGAGAGGAATATTGGCAGGCTTTCAGCAAATCTACCTTCCTAAATAGGAACAAAATGGATGATATTCATTACAACGTTGACTTGTAATGCATTAGAAACACAGGGGAAGGAAGCAGAGAAGTCAATGTTCCCCAAAGCAAGGGGAATAAAATTAAGAAAAAGATTGTTTTGCAGCTTAAGAAGCTTTAAAGTTTATGAATATGAAAAGTCACGTTAGTTTTAATTTTTCCTTTAAATGCTGCTGACTGTACCTCATTTTTTAGATCATTAGGCTCCCTTATGTGATTGGCAAGGAAATTTGCCAGCGGAGATAAGGCACATGTAGTGTGACAGTTTTCAGACCTGCCCTATAAAGCTATCCTCCTCCTGTCCCTGAAACTAATCAGTTATCAAACCAAGAGTGGTCATGTACTTTACAGTCCCAAATTACAAAGCTCCATTTAACTGAAACTTAAATAAGTTCTTTCATGATCCCTGAGGTTATATCATACCCATGAATAGATATGGACTAGATCTGAAAGAGCCACTTTCCAACTAGCATGGCCCCCATAGAGTTAGCTTGCATCTGCACCACTGGAGGACAAACTTCTCTCCATTTTCCTAAATGTTTCCTTGCAACATTCAGCAAACTGGATTATATCATTATCACAATAGTCTCGGTGGGGTAACCACCACCACATCCCAGTGCTCGTAGGTTTTGTTTGCAATCAAGAGTGAAGAGGTGTTGGAGACCATGCAGAGCAAAGACACAAAGTACAGGAGACACTACCATTACTCTAAGAAATAGCACTACCAATACTCTAAGCAACAGCTACAGTTTTATTTAATGAAGAGTGCAATCTCCCTGCCAACATTAGGTATCTTTTTACATGGGTAACTACTGATATTTGTTAGCACCATGAAACTGAAAACCTATACATGATGTCAACAAGTCTGGCAGCGTTTGATCAAGATCCCTTTTGAGAAACAGCCAAATGTGAAGTTTGAAGGTCTTGTTTCAATTTTTAAAAGACTGAAGAAAATATGTACCTTCATTTATTTCTACAGCAATATCAGGCAAACAGATCTGCAACCCACCCATCATGCCCTCTATTTTCAATTCTACAATGTAAGTCTCCCACTCTTCAGTACTCAGAGGGAATGGAAAACAATGGGACAGATGCGGGGCAGTAGTAGCCCAATTGGGAATATCCCCAGGACACAGGTAAGGCTACCAAATGTTAGAGCCGCTTTAGAAATGGCCCAGTCTTAGGGAAGTGCAAAGACGGCAAAGACACCTTCTTATCCCCCAACCCCCTTCACATAAGCTGCACATTCGGTTACCTGTCAAGAGTCACAGCACAGAACCTTGCCCATGTGCTTTTAATCAATCCTACCACTTCTAGTCCAATCCCCATTGGAGTTTATTTTAGGCCCTTTGCAAACGCAGTGCTAGAGCATCATATTTACAATAGATTGTTACCTGACATCATGCATATAGCTAGAGAGTGCAGCTGCCTTTTTTAATCAAATGCTTTGGATTTAATTATGAGACCATTGTTCTTTTAGCTTCTCAGATTTTGGTCAGTTTGATGGTATTGACAGGGTAGCGTCAGATCACGGACAGAGTATCAGAAGATAAGCGTATTGAGACAGTTCTGGTACAGCAGAAGCCATTGAAAACTCACCCTTTGCCAACCACAAATACAAAATTACCACAGAAACATACTAAAGTACTGGGTTAACACTGGTATCTCAGATACCAAACCATGAAAAATTGTTGACAAATGCTCACAATGGCTGTCATTGCATTTTTCAGGGAGTGTTTCCCCTTTGTCCTATAAAGCTTTAACTTTCAGATGTTTTGGAATTAGCCACTGTAAGGGGCTTCCAAAAGTGTTCGTGTTTTCCCTCCCACCTCCCAAAGAACTCAAACCAGATAACTGGATTTAATTAGCATTTTAAAAAAAAATCTTTGGGTTGAAACCAAGCTGGAAAGTTTCAGGTCAAGAGACTTTTTGGAGGAAGCTGCAATTGTCATTACATTCATTCATTATCTGCCACTATGACAAAGACCAAATCTCTCTCTCGACCCAAAAATGAGCATTAACCCAACACAACTTAGTTTATTTTCCTCCCTACTACCACCCCACACTCTTAGAAGAGAAACCTGCATATCTCTCTGCAAGTTTACCGCCTGCTATTACAACATCTAATATTATTGTAACTGAAACACACTTTTTTCAGTCCATTCAACAGCCCTCTGTATAGTCAGTTTTCTCCTGTTTGTATGGGTCTTTCACACAGAAATGGGAGATTTAAAGGGGAAAATGCAATTGTAAAATGACAAAAGTTGGCATGGGAATGCAAGGGAGAGTAGTGTCATAAGATATTTTAAACTAATTTTTTAACAAATGAATGGTTTTCAAGTTGACAGTCTCAGTGCCATTTGTGCTCCCATGGCCCCAACATAACTCACCAACTGTGAGTGTGACACACATACAGCCTGCTGGTTAAAACAACTACACATCACACTTAGTGCTCTGGTCATCTACAGTGCTATCCACGTGGGCAACAATTTAGCCATCGTAGAGGATGCCTCCCCAGCCCCCAAATTGCCCCCACCTTGTTATATTTCTCCACAAAGTTGTAAGCCATCCCACTCCCCTACACCAACTCTGTTGTACTCTTCCCTGCTTGGAGGCTTCCCATTATACAGATTCACAAAAGGACTATGCATCCTGACCCCCAGCCTGGCTTATCTAAGAGGGATATTCATATAAAACAGCTGAACTTATAGCACTTATGAGCTTGCTGCCTAGTAATAAAATACATTGCCTGTAAGAGGGATTACATGGGCTGCTCCTGGAAGATGATGCTCTTATTTAAATCTGGAAAGGGCATACAGAAACTATAGCACACCTTGTGAGGAACAGAGAGGAGATTCCTCTCCTAGAGGGCCATCAGAGAAAGAGCTTGCATGGGGGAAAACTTCCTGTGTCCTGCAAAACCTTTCCCACAACAATGAAGCCTTCAGAAGCAAGGTCTTGCATTTTTAACATGAAGCCATCAGTATTCCATACCACTGAAAACTGACCCCAGCCCAAACTTTCTAGTGCTGGGAAAAGAAGAGGGATTTCCACCGAATACCCTAGGAAACGCCGCACAAAAAACTCTGTGAGGAGACTGTGATGGCCAGCCAGGGGCAGAGCGAGCTCTACCCTTAACTCTGCCCCCCATGCCCTGCGATCCCACCGCCCTACCCTTAACTCTGCCCCTTGTCCTCCCTCCCCCGGCCCCGCGATCCCACCGCCCTACCCTTAACTCTGCCCCACCCGGCCCCGCGATCCCTCCACCCTACCCTTAACTCTGCCCCCCGGGCCCCGCGATCGCACTAGCCTTCTGCGCCCCCCACGCACCTTGTTGTTGTACTCCTCCACGAAGCTGCCGAGCGCCAGGCGGAAGCGCTTGTCGGGCCGGACGCTCCAGTTCATGGCGTACACGGTCCAGGGCGCCTCGTACTTGTAGATCTCCTTCCGCTTCCCGTGCAGCGACATGGCGGGGCCGGGGGGCGCGGGCAGGGGCCACGGGCAGCCGGCGAGGGGCCAAGGGCCCGGGTGAGGCGCGCGCGGGGCGGGGGGAGGGGGTCTCGGTCCGAGCGAGGCCTGAGAGACGCCGAGCGGGGCCTACGGAAGCCGGGCGCAGACGGGCCGAGCGGGGGACGCGGCTGGAGGGCGCCGCCGGCTCCTGGCCCCGAGTCCCGGCTTCCAAACCCGGAGACACTGCGAGCCGCGGCGGAGGCCGTTTGGGATTCGGCCCCTCACACAACAGGAGCGGAAACCACGCGGGCTGCCCCGCCCGCTGCGCGTCCATTGGCTGAGTCGACCGCCACTCAGGGCATCCCGTACAGCCGTTGGGTGGGAAACCTGCCAGTCAGAAGCGTTCCGGTCTCTTATTAGCCACTGTACCGCTCATTCTAAGCAGGCGCGCGCCGCGTTAGTAGAATCATCTGCCACTCCGCTCGTTCCCGCCCCAGAAGGATGGGATGCTCTTTCTCAACATCTCATTGGCTGCGATGGGTCGCAGTGGCTTCGCCCCTTCATGAGGCGGGACCGTCTAGCTCCCTGTCCTCCTATAGGCTGGGGAAAAGTGTCAGTCAGGGGTGAGCTGTTGGGCAGCAGGCGGGGCTTGGGGCACAGCAGGGGTTAGCAGAGCAATTTGAGCCTTCGCTTTAGACGTATCCTGCAGTGAGAGAGGTTCGAATCCCAGCTCCGACAACTAGCGGGGCTGTAAACACCCTGGGCCAGATCAGGCTCCTCTAAGGAGCTCAGCTCCCATTTAAGCAGTAATATAAGGGCAAGATTTTCAGCTGTGCCAAGCAGCCCATATGCTGAGCAATTTTGAAAACCATGCCCCAGGTCAACCCTTGTAGGTTTATTCAAAGGGCGGGTGAGGCAGCAGGTCGCTGCTGGGCTGTGGGAGGAAAGCGTCCATGCTGCTTAGACTCAATGAGTGTATCCCAACATGGATGGAAACACATTTCCTTATGCTAGGGACATTTTTCAAAACCTTTGCCCCATTGCTGACAACTCTCCTAAGGCATGGGAGGAGAAGCAGAGAAAAGTCTAATTTGTATGGGGCCAGATTCTCAAAAGATTGCCGCACCTGTTTAGGCAGGTACCAAGGTCAGTGGCCAGATTTTTGCATAGGAAATAACCTCAGTGTCCTTGGCCAACATTTCTCATTCTCTGCGTCACAAAGGCCAAGAGAGAGGTCTGAATAGTTGTCGTAGGCCAGCTGGTGAGGGGACGATATAACATCAGTAGTGAGATTTGTTGCGATCTTTGTTAGCCAAACAGGAGCGATTTGGATGAGAGAGGGAGAATGGCACTGCTGATATGCAGTGGCAGCAAACAGAGGCCCCTTTCAAAGTTCTTCTGAAGAGTGGCTAAAATGGCCCTTCATGTTCTGATCAAGCCCATTCACTCTTGTTACATCCAAGAGAAGGTTGGATATTAGGAAACACTATTTCACTAGGAGGGTGGTGAAGCACTGGAATGGGTTACCTAGGGAGGTGGTGGAATCTCCTTCCTTGGAGGTTTTTAAGGCCCGGCTTGACAAAGCCATGGCTGGTATGATTTAGTTTGGAATTGGTCCTGCTTTGAGCAGGGTGTTGGATTAGATGACCTCCTGAGGTCCCTTCCAACCCTAATCTTCTATGATTCTATGGGACTCGGGCTTCCGCAGCTGCCTTCATTCAAGTGCCAGGTTAACCGTTATTCTCATGACTTTTCTAAATAATAGGATTGGGAGTTGGCACTCCTGTGCTCTGCTCCCACCTTTGCTACCAGATCCCTGTGTGACCCTGGGAAAGTCACTTCCCCATTCTGTGCCTCAGTTTCCCATCTGTAAAATGGGGATAATCTAGCATGGAATAAGATAGTGGTGTCCTGTCTGTCATGTAGAGCTTCTGGGGCAGGGAACATCTTTGTTTCTTGTCTGTACGGTGCTAAGAACAAAGCAGCCATGAGTCTTGACTGGGGTTCCTAGGTGCATAATAATAATAATTAATAATTAAAGAATTTGCCATTTACATAAGGCTTTTCCTGTTATAAGTGCTTTACAAGTTGCTCATTACTGTAGTTCTCACAACGGCCCATGAGGTGGGGGTAGCACCATTTTCCTCATCTTGCAGATAAGGAAACCGAGGCACAGATCGAGGTAAGTGACTGGGAAGATCTTGCAGCAGGCCTGTGACAGAGCTGGCATTCCTGATTCCACCTACGTGACTTCCCTGTGGGTTTCTGGGGCGGCACACGGAGGAAGGATTTGGGCATGTCGCTTGACAAGAGGCTGGAGCCATTTACAGGCACTATGAATTCACAGGAGTGGGGCTCTGGGACCCACAGGCTGTATCTAGTAGCCTGCATTCCATAACCCTCCACGGAGTAGGTGCCTCTGGTGCAGTGCTGTCCTGAGCAGGCATAGCTCTTCCTCAGGCTTTGGTCACTTTTCCTGGCCTGGGACTAAAATTCACTTCAGTTCTGTGAGATCTACCGCGGGCAGGTGCTGAACGGACAAAGCAGGAATTTCTGTGTGTACGTCAGGGTCATTGAAATACAAGCATCCCGTTGTAGGCATTTCTCATCCCTTCGAAGAGACACTGAGGAACAGAGGAATTGTCAAGTCCATCTTGTCCAGTGTCCTGTCCCTGACAGTGCCCCGAACCCGCTGCTTCAGAGGAAGGTGCAAGGAACTCTAAAGTGGCTCATGATGGGAGAACCTGCCCATAGGGGCAGTTTCTTCCTAAACTCATCGGTGGTTGGTTAGCTCGCTGTCTATGGGGAGGACTGGTAGCATGTCACCGCTGCTGTGTGGATGAAAGACCCGGCCATGTGCCAGCCCCCAGAGATCCTAGGGGAGCTCAGTTGCCTTTTGCCTCTCCAGGCAGAGGCAGGAGCCTTGTGGGAGACAAAATGCCTGCGGCTGGAATGTCCCTGCTGCTGCAGAAAGATGAAACCGACGTTGTCCTGAAATAGAACTAGCTGCGTGGTTGGAGAGAGAGAGACTCTGTGTGTGGGTGTGTGGGTGTGCACGCGCAGCAGGGGCCTGGGACACGGGGCTGGGGTGAGAGACACAACAGCAACAAGGTGCTGCAGCGTGGGGGAGAAGCTGGCTCGATGAGCCCAGCCCAGTGTTGGCAGGTTGAAGGGTACGTTCACACTGCAAAGGAAGCTGGGATTGCAGCGTGGGCAGGCGTCCTGCCACTGGCTTTCATGAGGGTGGCAGTGGTGGCGGGGAAGTGGCAGCGTGGACTCCTGTGCAGGCTAGTCACCCCAGCACAAGCCTGCTCCACGCCAGGATCCATGCCACAGCATCTTCACTGCTCTCTTCAAACACGCCTAGCCTATAGATCCCCTCTGCCCCGCCGTGGCCCAGCTCAGACCCTCCCCTGTACACACACCTCGACCACAGAACCTCCCAGGTACACTCCCCCCCAGCACATACCCCCTGCCCAGCCCCTTCTCCCCACAACGCTTTATGGCGTTGAGATGGCGCCATCCCCTTCACAGCTCAAGCCCAGCTCAAGCAGCAGCAGTGCGAGCTTCCCAGTCGGAAGGGCTCTCCCCCTTCCTCCCCCGAACGGCTGTGGAGAAACCAGACTGCGGGCAGGGGATGCTGCCACAAACTCCCCTTCCCTTTTGCATGGCTGCATCTGCCTTCTCCTGCTACGGGAGAGCCCTGGGCACCTGCTGAATCCTGCGATGCAGTTTCCATAGCGACGTTGCTCAGGTATAGGAAGGACATCAGTCATCGGGGTGCTGGCTGTGAGGGCACAGGCCAGACGCCTCCTGGCTGCAGCTTAGTGAATTCTCTTCTCTGAGCCCCACCACGCCCTTTAATGCAAGAGCTGCCTTGGCTCCAGCTAGCAGGTCACTGGCACACTCTCTCCGCCCTGAGTGACTAGGGTGGCTATGAATGAATAGCCAGCACGGAGTCAGTGTTGAACCAATGCCCCAGCATGGGGCTGCTGGAGGAGCTGCGGAACCCAAAGTGTTGCCATGGGTAAGAGGAGGGCGGATCGGCTCGTGTTTCTGGCCAAATTCTCATCTCAGCAGCTGTCTCTTCACTGCCCTGCGCCTGGTCTGGTCATTGATGCCTGCACAAACAGGTGCGTGCATACTGCAGGATCAGACTGGTACCACGTGACACCCAGGCAGCACACATGTGGATGCCAACAAATGGCACAAGGGAGAATCAGAGCATGTTTTCACACCACATTCCTCCGCATCCTATCTGACCCGCCACGGTGCCAATTCCAGTAATATCCTGCCCAGCTGCAGTTCAACCTGCCATTTCAGTCGGAGATGAGGTTTTTCACTTCCTGTCCTAAACTCTTGAGGAGTATTAAACAGCTGCCATGTTCCACCCAAGTGGTGGCTGCATTTCATTGGTGGGTGAAATAATTCTGGTGCATATATGCAGTGTGTAAAGTGCGTTGGGATGAAAGAGGGTATATCTCGTTGCCCAGTTCCATAGGGTAGCTCATGGACTGTACCATGTTACTGTACACACATTTTCTCCTACTTACTGATACCCATGGCTGGCTCATCCACGGGGATTGAACCAGGGAACCTTTAGATCTAGAAGCATTAGTCTCTCTTGCGTGAGCTAAAGGAGAAAACGTCTTGGTACGAAGGCCATAGCAAATTCACTCTCCTCTGTACGTTATCCAGCCTCTATGGAGTGACAAAGCCCCAACTACCTGTGCTGAGATGCGTCACCGCCTCTCTCTCTCTCTCTCTCTCTCTCTCTCTCTCTCTCTCACACACACACACACACACACACACACACACACACACACACACACACACACACACACACACACACACTCTCTCTCAGATTAGGAATAGCATCAGGTTGGTGTTTAGCACATTTTGCTGTGCATTACGAGTGCAGCTATTACAGGCATTTGCTTTGGAAATGTCCTGCCGTTAGCCCCCATTACTGAAAGAAATGAAAACCATCTTTCACTACGAATCCTTTGTGCCTGTGGGTTGTTTTGGCCTCTCTGCAAATTGCCATTGTGCATCTTAAAGTCTCCCTGCCGCATCTGCTTCCAACGCAGGTGTTTTTCAGCCCCGGCAATTTAGTAGGACGCTTAGTTTTTACAACCCTTTAAACGCTGCAGCCTCTGGAGCCGTGAGCTCTGAGGTCTTGAAGAGGCAACAGCGTTCAGGCAGCTGCACTTCTAATCAGAGGCCGCAGGGTCCTAGACGAAAGCATCCAACTCATTGCTTTCCCCTGAGCTGTCCTTCCTGAGGGGGTCGCCTGGGTAGCCCACCCTTGGAAT